GCAGGGTGACCAGTGGGTTGTCCTTGGGGCATGGCCTGTAGGAGGGCAGAGCTGCCAGGCTGAAGGCCAGCAGTATTGGGGTGGAGGGGCATGGGAACTGGGAGAATGGCAAGGAAGTTGACTGAGGACCCAGCAACCTTGGGTGAAGGGGGCACCCCAGCTGGAGTCACTGTGCTCTAAGTATGGGAGGAGACGGTAGGGGCTCTAGATGAAGGAGAGGATGGCCCAGGGGAGAACTAATCCAAGCAGGCTGAGACTTGTCAGCTAGATCTGGGGACAACGGCAGCAAGGGAGAGAGGCTTCCTCCAGATACACATGCCCCCACAAAAACCAGCTACAGTGTGTGGTGGGCAACAATGGAGTTAGATGGATTCTAGGCTAAAATGAAATTTCAGGGACCAGGGCCAGACAGTCCTAGAGGCCGGATCCCCTCTGTCCCTCCCAACTCCAAGTGACCTCAGGCCAAGCCCCTAAATCTTCCGGAGCCTCAGTTTCCCACACCAGCCCCCCTCAGGGTCCCAGTGGGATGCTGGTCTGGAGACCCTATCTGATGGACGGACTGTTTTCCTGGAGGTTCCCAGCTGGGGCTGACTCAGTAGACTCAGCAGTCTCCTGGGGCCTCTGCTGGCTTCCTACCCGCCCTTGGCTATGACTGGAGGAAGGGACCAGGGGCTGGGTGTGAGTCCCATCCTCAGTGGCCATCTGCCAAGGCTGGAGTGTATGCACGAACAGGTCAATATGGAAGGCTGGGTGCTTCCCTGTGGCGGGTACTACCTGGCCTCTAGGCAGCAAAGACAGAGGGTGTAGTAAGTCCAGGCCGCCAGACGCCAGCCACACCATCCCCCACCAGAGCTTCTGGAACAGAAGGAAAGCCCCCCTCCTCAATCAGAATCACTTCCCAGCTTAAGCCCCTCAAGCCCCTCCCAGCCTCCCTCAACCCTGAGGGTAGGGAGTGAAAAGCCAGAGCCAAGACCTCTGTGCCTTCCCAGCCTGGGGACGTGTATAAGAGGTGTCCCAGGTGGAATGTCAGGATAAGGGTCACCCAGGTTGGACCTCTGGACTCCCTGGGGACTGGCTATTAAAGAAGCTCCTGAAGGTATCCTGGGAGGGTCCCTGAGCTCCAAGCAAGAATGGAAAGGAGGGGCCAGGCTTCACCTCCCACCTCTCAACCCCCATGGGGAGGCCTGGAGCTGAGTTGGGGGTGGTGGAGGAGAGGGAGACAGCTCCAGAGGAAGGATGGGTGAGAGCGCTCAGGGCACACAGCACCCCAAGGACAGAGTCCCCTGCTGCTCCCAGGCTGGGAAACTGGCCAATAGGCCACCTGCCACAGCAGGCCCAAGTGTCCATTGGCCCCCTTCCATTCTGAGCCTCAGTTTCCCCACTTGTCAAACAGGGATAATTGGGTTTCTTTCACAAGATCACCTGGCATTGGTGAGGGGTATGACCCCTGAGGTGGAAGGCATTTGTGTTGACTGGATTGTTACAAAGGGTCCTTTGTAGGAGGTGTCCCTACCACCACCACCATAACCAGCACCAGCAGGTCCTTTCCTGTCTCTGGGATCAAAGCAGTGGTCCAATTCTGGCCACTACTGGTGCTTGTTGAAATGCCCAGTCCTTGACCTCAGCCACACCTGAATTAGAAGTCACCAGGGTGACACCTAAGAAACAACTGAGTCTGCAACTATGTCCCAAGAATCTTGCCAGGACCATGGTCCCTGCACCTAGGGCTGGTAGCAGGCAGGGACAGGGATGGGTATATCACCCCCACTTGGCTGGAGCCCTAGCCCATCCCTGGGGACCCTTCACAGCCCCTGGGAGAGGAAGAAACTAGGAGAGAGCCCATCTTTCTGGCTGGTCCCAGAGACCCTCTTACCAGCTGGGGAGAGGGGCCTTCATTGCTCAATACATAGCCTTGCCAGCCAGGGCTGCCCCTGCCCCTGAGAAAGGCACTTACATAAGGGTAGACCCCCCCCAGTACCTTGCAAGGGTCCCTTCTGACCTCTATTGTCTACTGTGAAACAAAATCACAATCATAGCCTCATAGAAAGGTTTTGGGGGGCACTCTGCAGCCTCAGAAAAGGCAGTGCACCCCCCCTTCATTCCACCCTGCTTGGGGCCTCTCTGCTGGAATCCAAATTTCCCACTTGGGCGAGGGGCCTCCTTGGCCTTCCCTGGGATGCAGGAACCTGAAGAGGTGAGTGGGACTGGGGGAGCCAGCCCCCAGCATGACTCCTGATGAGCCCCATCCCAAATACCTCCCAAAGCACAGAGCTGCAAACCCAGGCCCTAACATCTGGTCCCCCAGCCACAGCTGCTGCCCTCCTCCCTGATCCTGGGATTGCCCCAAACACTGCCCAGCACAGATTCCAACCCCTGGCCCAAGTGGGAAATTCAGATTCTAGTCGAGTCCAGCTGGGGATGGAAATGCACATGGGAAAATGTCTCAGGAAAACATATTTTTCCCTCCACACGGAAGCCAGCACAGATCCTGGAAGGATTTGGTGGCCCAAAGACCCTCCCACCACCCAGGGCCAAGGCCAGCCAGCAAATGAGGGCAGAAGGGTGCTTCAGGCAGCAGAGGTGGGGCCCAGCCTCTCTCCAGGCCCTGGAGAGGGCCCTGGGGGACCTTTGTTTTCCTACCGGCCAATTCAGCTTCTGGTCCCCCACTTGTGCTCCCTTTGAGGGGAGCCTGGACAGAAGAAACGGCTGTGGCTACCAGTTTGCAGCTGGGCTTTTCAGAAACAAAAGCTTTGGGGGGACGCAGTCCACACAATTGTTTAAAATGAGGTTTTGGGATGTCTGTGGCATCCAGTTATTCATACTGACTCCACCCACGGATAATTGAGAGTTGGCTTTTGTAGGACTTACCCTCTCCCCCTCCCCCAAGCTCCAGCCCAGTCGTTTAGTCTTTTCAGAGACTAGAGTTCAGGAAGCTCACCTTGTCTGGCCCCTGGGTTTTACAGATAAGGAAAGTGAGACCTGGAAGGAGGAGGTGCAGACCCAAGGCTCCTTGGTGACGGTGCCAATACTTGAACCCAAGACATCAGAATTCCAGGCCAGGGACTTTTTGCATTCACCCTACAGACTGTGGCCTGGTTCCAGCAAATCCCCAAAACCACTGACCCCAAAAGCAGTGGTGCCTGGAAGTGAGGTGACTCACTGTCTGGCTTCCCAGGGTACCCCCTCCCTATCGGTGACAGAGGGACTGGCAGGTGTCCCTGTGCAGAGAGCCAGGAGCAGGGAGAGGCCACCCCCCCCCCAGGGGACCTGGGCCTGGGTCACTCAGGGGCCAAAGAGCCCCAGCTGGAGGGATTTAGAACCAAAGGTCAAAGGTCACAGACAGGGAAGGGCAGGCAAGCATAGGGGGTCAAGGGGTCAGCGCTAATGGCAGCTCCGGAAAGGAGGGGGAGGGGAAAAGGCTAAGAAAACAGAGAGGCTTCCAAGGGGTCTCCACCCCAAAAAACCACCATTCCAATCCAGTGCCACTGCCTCCTGCTTGGCTGGCTGCAGACAGAGCCAAGACTGGCTGCGGGTGGGTTGAGAAATGGGCTGGGCTGGAGCTCTGCAAGGGGTGTCCTGGGAGGGGCTTCCCAGGTGCAGCCCCTCCCCCAGTGCAGGCCAGGGCCAGCTGGGAGGCCCACCCTGGGCCCCAAGAGAAGAAGGAGCTGGGGGAGGGCTTCGAGGTCACCAGGGAGGGATGTGTGGGCTGGGCTGGGACAGCTGTGGGGCTATGCCATGGAAGTGAGGCCTGGAGAGGAGTGGGCGGTCTGAAGGGGCCACTTTCCCATTCCCTGAGCCTGGGGGCTTTGGAAGACCAGCAAGGAGCACAGCTGTCTTTCCCAGCTACCAGCTCAGCCCCGCCTCCCTTCCAGGATGCCAGGAGAACAGGATGACTGCTTACTACTCAGGGTGCCAGCCTCCAAGAACCACACCACGCAGGCCCTGACCCTGGCCCAGACAGAGACCCACGGGAGCTCAGGCGTTGGCCAGGTCCCTGGCTGGCCTGGCTGCCCCCTTGGTGTCAGGCGTTCCCTCCATAGCCAAGATCCTGGGCTGTGATGGCTGGGGGCCCAGGGCTCCTCCCAGTATCCTTTCCAGCTTCCCAGGCCCCGGGGCAGGGCTGGGCAACTCCCTGCAACCATTGCTTCCCGGCCACCCTCTGGCTGGGCTGGGCGGGCCCTCTTGGACAGGCAGACAGGCGGCATGCTGCCCTGCTGTGGCCTGAGTACCCTGCTGGGCAGGGCAGTGTGCCAAGGCCTCCAGGTGCCAGCCTGGATTCCAGCCCCATCCCAGGGGGCCTTGAGAAGCAGGCGCTGGCATCTCCCTCCCCGGGGATGCACCTGCCTGGCCCCCTCCTCCGCCTCCACAAGACCCACCCTCGGGCGCCTTTAGATATCCTCGCCTTCCCAGCCTGCCGGGCCCCTCACCTGCTTCCATCCAGACTGGTAGGAGAGGACCAAACCCTGGACCCGAGGACAGCCCCCGCTTCCCGGCCCTTCCCGGGGCTTGCTATGGGCAGTAGTGGGGAGACGTTTCGGGACAAGGGAGGCACCTTTCAAACCTCTTCCTAGAAACAGCCGGGGAGGGGCAGCTGCCTGGTGCCCAGACAACTTCGTGCCCAGGCTCCGGGTGCCCTCTTCTCACCTCGCAGCGCGCCCCCACCACGGCCGCCTAACTTCCCCGCTGAAGTTTGCGCCCGCCCCAGACCCAGACGCGGCTCGGCCCGGCCTCCGGACCGAGGGAAGGGAAGAAGGGAGGAGAAAGACCGAGCGATCGAGGGACGGGGCCAGGGAACCGGCGAGGGAGGGAGCGCGCGAGCCAGCGAGCGAGCGAACGCAGGGGCCTCGGCGAGGGCTCACAATGGCCCGGGGCGAGGCGCGGACGCGGGAGGGGGAGGCGACCCTCGGGGCCACACAGGCCCCGCAGTCCCCGCGCGGCAGGCGGGTGAGCCCCTTGCCCGGTCCCGGTCCCCACGGCGCGACACCCCGGGGGCTTCCTACCTCGGTGGCGGGGCGGTGGGGCTCCGGCTCGCGGGCTCCGGCGGTCAGGGGGCGGCAGGGGGCGGCAGGGGGCGAGCGGGGGAGGGGCCGGGGCGGGCGGGGCCGGGGCGCGAGGCTCACGGGGCGCGGGCTCCCCTGGCACGGCCGCCCGGCGCCCGGCCGCTCCGCCACATCTGCAGCTCGGGCAGGGAAGGTGGCCGCGGCGGCCGGGCCGTGCGGGGATGTCTTAGCGAGGGAGGGCGGAGGGAGGAGGGAGGCGGCGGGAGGAGGGACCGGCGGCCGCGGAGGAGGGCGAGGAGGAGGGGCGCGGGGGGCGGCCTCCCTCCCTTGCTCGCTCGCTCGCTCCCGCCCTCCCTGCAAACCCCTCTCGCCGCCGCGGCCCCAGGCCCGGGGCGCCAGCTGCCAGGCGGGGCGTGAGTGTCGGGGGGAGGGGGCGGCCGGCTGGGCCGGGGGAGGGGAAGAAGGGCGGGCGGCCGCCGGAGCGGGTACCGGGAAGGAGGGAGGGAGGGAGGGAGCCCCGCCGCCGCCGCCGGGACGCGCGCGTCCTCCGCGCCCCCCCCGCAGCCCCGCCCCCGGCCCGAGGGCAGCGCTAGGACACGGCCCGGAGGTGGCCTGAGGGGGGGTGGCAGTGGGGGGAGCCCGAGATAGCTTGCCCTCGGGGAAGCCCGGGAGGGAGGCGGGCGCACGGGCCCCAAGGAAAAGCCCCGAAGACCGGGAAGATGGAGGAGGTCTCCGTGGTCGAGGGGGCGGGGACCCTCGGCTCTTCCTGCGGGGTCACCTTGGCCAGGCCCCCTGCGGCCCCGGGCAGCGGGGAAGGCGGTGGGAATGCCTCTCCGCCGGCCCTGATTTCTCCGCCCAGTCCAGTTCCAGGAACGCGCGAGCAAAGGCCTCTCCCGATTCCGGGAGGTGCAGACCGGGTTCGAAGCCCGGCTCAGCCTTTCGTGCCTGTGCGACGCCAGGCTGGTCCCTGCCTTGCCCTCGGCCTAAGTTTCTCTCGCCGTGGAATAAGGACGAAGCCCGGCCCCAACCAATCCCGCGTCCGATATCTTGGAGTCGGCAGCTGGTACAACCTGAGTCCGTCTCCCCCCTTCCAGCCGGAGCTCTGCAGGGGTCCTCGAACCCGCCTGCACCCTCGGCGCTTGCATTACAGTCAGTAGTGCAGTGCGTAGACATTGAGAAGGGTGAGTGAGAACGCCGGCACCTGGCCGCTGAGCTGCTTTCTACCTTCTGAGTAAACCTCGGACTCAGCTTCTTTGAGTGTTTTGTTTGGGCGAATCCCGAGCCCCCGCCCAGTATCTTCTTGCAATTCTGTCTGGTGGCAAATCCTGGTTCAAAAACAGCCTTCATCCTGCCAGCCAACCCGCTTCGCAGTTGGCCTTGAAGAGCGCTTTTAGATTTAGCATCCCCTATAGGCGAGGCACTGACTTCGGCTGAATTCCGCTTTCATTCGGGCACTTGATGCTGAGGTCCAGCCCGAGCCACAATGAAGCACGTGGGTCTCGATCACACACATACGCCCAGCACCGGGCGCCACGCTTGGCACACACTTCTGATCCGGTGCGCAGGTGGACATGGTGAGCAAATGGACACGTAGTAGGACCGGTTATGTGGGCACTTAACAGCTGCTCCTTATATTTTGAACTAATGGACCCATATTAAATACATATGAACTGTTGGCGAGTGGGCGCGTAGTAGGTGCCCATGACCTGTCATACATGAAAGGGATTTAGGAAGGCCGGTTTAGCCGGAGCAAAGGCTATAAAGTGGTGATTTGGAAGGTACTGCCGCTTCCCTTTTCCCGAGTGTGGATAAGGTGGAGTGTGGCTGGGTTAAACATTAGCCGGCAGATGGGCCCGAGGGAACCTAAAGCTTTCAGGAGGGGGCTGTTAAAGGCCGACTCTCAGGTCCACGGACAGGCCGGGCGTCTCAAGGGCGGAGGCTGAGGGCTGAAGAGCGCCCCCTCCCGGCTCTGGGAGTCACTACACCAACCGAGTCGCAGCCCGGCAGGGGCTGCAGCCCAGGCGGGTGGGGGTCGGGGAGGGTGGGAGGTAGCGCTAGTATAGATCTGTTAGCAAAAATGCTCATCAAGCCGGGCGCCGGTGCCTCACACCTGTAATCCTAGCTATTTAGGAGGCTGAGACCAGGAGGCTTACGGTTCAAGGTCAGCATAGGCAAAAAGTCTGAGATCCCATCTCAACCAATAAAAGCTGGATTTGGTGGCACGTGCCTGTCATCCCAGGTGCACGGGAAGCCACAATAGGAAGATCACAGTCCAGGCCAGCCCCCAAATAAAGGGAAACCCTATCTCAAAAATAGCCAAAGCAAAAAAGGCTGGGGGCGTGGCTGAAGTGATAGAGCACCTGCCTGGCCAATGTGAGACCCTAAGTTCGACCCTAAGTTCAACCCCCAGCCAGAAACCCTCTATCCTCAGCAGACCAGTTCCTTCTCTCTATCTCTCTACCAGATATTTGCATTATATTTCCAAAGATCCCATTCCTATTTTACTGAGGGAAACTGAGTCAAAAGAAAATTAATGTAGCCAAGGGTTTTGGTTTTTTGTCGGTTACTGGGGTTTTAAACTCTGGGCTTCACACTTTCTAGGCAGGGGTTCTACCACTTGAGCTACTCCACCAGCCCTATTTTGTGTTGGGTATTCTTGAGATCGAGTCTCATGAACTATTTGTTCAGGCTGGCTTTGAACCACAATCCTCCTGATCTCTGCCTCCTGAGTAGCCAGTATTACCGGCTGAGCCTCCAGCACCTGGCCCCCTGCTTTCTTGCTCGGCTTCTTCCTTTGGAGTCCTCTGATCACACATCCTTCCTTCACAGTTTAAACTGTGAGTTCCTCAAAGAGTAGGACTTGGGCACATTGTCTGCTCTGTCACTCCCCCTGCAGGGTCCTGCACAGGGCCTGGCATATAGAAAATGCTTCCTACATGTTGCTGGGCTGATAAATTTGGAAGCTGAATTTGATGCTCTAACTCTTCACCAATAAGCATTTATTAAACATGTCCTAGGTTCCCATTCATTCCGCAGATTCTTACTAACTTCTTATTAAGTGGTCTCATTCAATACTTATTTGCAGACCTAGTCTAGGCAACCCCACCCATGCCTTTAAGGAGATCTCCAGGTCTAATGGGGAGCCCCTCACCTGTCAGTACTGAGAGGATGTCGCTCACTCATCATGCAAGGAGGGTGTCTACATAATACAGAACAGTAAATGGTTCTTCAAAAATTAAACCATGGTGCTAGGTTAGTGGCAGGAAATCAGAGGTTTCTATCTTTTCAGAGCCTGAGCAGAAGATACAAGACAACAGCAGGGCACTGGTGGCTCATGCTGTAATCCTAGCTACTCAGGAGGCAGAGATCAGAAGGATAGCAGTTCGAAGCCAGCCTGGACAAAATAGTTCGAGACCCTGTCTCGAAAAAACCCAACACAAAAAAGGGCTGATGGAGTGGCTCAAGGTGTAGGCCCTGAGTTCAAACCCCAGTACTGCAAAAAAAAAAAAAAAAAAGATACAAGGCAACACATAAAGAGGCAAGTCTTTTTTTTTTTTTTTCCATTACTGAGGTTTGAACTCAGGACCTTGTGCTTATGAGACAGATGCTCTACCACTTAAACCAAGCTGAGAAGTGAGTCTCAAGGCCTATGTTGCAGGCACAGGAGAGATAACAGGGACCAGGATGGATAAGTGGTGGCAGCAGATCTGGAACTCTGACCCTTTGTCCTTAACCAAGTCCTCAGGGTCCTTATCACAGGCTGTGGGAGGCTCAGTGGAGAGCATCAGGAGAATGCTTTCACTGGCGCCTGGCTGGGAGGAAGAGGGAAACAAATGGTAGCTATTATTGTTTTTAATGAAGCTGCAACCCATGGTGAGCAGGACCCAGGCATAATGAAGGAGGGAGGGAGAGGGGAGGGAAGGAGGGAGGAGGGAGGGAGAGAGAGAGAGCGAGCAGGATGACTTATTAACCTTGAGCAGGCCGCCTGGTGAGCAGCTCTGTTGGTTGGTGCTGGCTTGCTGAGCCTGCAGGGCTAGGGTTGTCCATGGGTGGAGTGTTTTTTTCTGGGAAGTAGCTCTGGGTGCTCCTCATGCCCTGCTCCAGGGGAAAAAGAGGGCTTTGGGTTGGAAGCAAGGTCCACACAGCCTGGTCCTACAATGTGGCCCTACATTACCACAGGGCCCGGCTTGAATATGTCCCCAAGGCACAGCCCAGGGGTCTGACTGGGTCTTGCAGGTTTGGGAGTCACCCTCTCTGAGGGAGACCCAAGAAACCTGCCCTGGAGAGCCTGAATGGTCAGCTTTTGGAAGTCTGGGGACTGCACCCTGGATGCCCAGACAAAGTGAGGCTCCTGGGCTTTGGGGGAGAATGAAATCTCAGATAAGAATGCCCATGCTGACTGAGCGACACCCCCCCCCACTCCGCCCCAGTCAGGCTGCCTTCATGGACATCCAAATGGTGTAGGCGCAGAGACCAACTTGGGTTGAGCTGTCACTAGGCCCCACATTGTCATTTTGCTTTGTGCAGCCTGTCTTGTCTTCAGGTAGCCTTTCCCTCACATTAGTGCATTGAGATCAAGCCTTCACCTCACCCAGCAAGACAGGAGCTTCTAGGTGTGATAAAATTGTACTTACTTACGTGGAACTGTTGGGAGGTTTAAGCGAAGTAGTTCATACCAGGTGCCCGTGGCTCACACCTGTAATCCTAGCTACTTAGGAGGCAGAGATCAGAAGGATAGCAGTTCGAAGCCAGCCTGGACAAAATGGTTCACGAGACCCTATCTTGAAAAAAAACCCATCACAAAAAAGGGCTGGTGAAGTGAAGTGACTCAAGGTGTAAGCCCAGAATTCATGCCCCAGTACCTCAAAAAAAAAAAAAAAGGAGAGAAAGAGAGAGGTAGTTCATATAAAGGACGTGACATGGAGTGGCTAAAATGATAGAGTGCCTGCCTAGCAAACGTGAGGCCATGAGTTCAAACCCCAGTGCCGCCAAATAAATAAAATGAGGAGCGCTTGCCTAGCACTGTAGTCCCTGG